TAGTCTTCCATAAGTACATAAGCATTTTTTATATGAAAGAAATTACAACTCACGCAGTTTTACCATACGGGTTGCATTTTTAGACAAAGTTCTGTATTCAAAAACTTGAAGAATGCTTTAATGGATTTTCATTTTGAACCGAACCGAACCAGTTTTTGGAGTGGTTTTCGGTTCGGTTTTGGCATTTAAAAATAAAAACGGTTCATCCCCCTATTATGAATCCATACGATACACGATAAACGCTTGCATTCTGTTGTGCCGTATTACGAACTAAATTCTAGCGTATGAAATTCGATAGCTACCGTTTATCGTATAGCGCTAAATTTTGGTATTGCCATACGATAGCTATCGTATCAGCTGTCCATTTCCATACGTTTGCAAGCGGTTGTCTATTTTTATACGATACGATAAAATTTAACAAAAATAAAATAATGTAAGTATTAAAATGAATAACATGAATTTATGGAAACGATCTGAACAAAATATTGAAATTTTTCAGGCCGAAAATTGCGAGACAAAATATCGAGTTGAGCGTATTGCTTCTCCGAGGGGTACGGTTTAGGTATTTGTACAATGATTTTGGATTGTTGTGCCCAAACGCGTATCCCGAATCTAAAAACTTTAATATACACAGGTAGTCGAAGGATTAAACTTTTCATTTAAAACAAAGATTTCGAATTTCGGAGTACTAGTTTATTGATAAATTCGGCTTGAAGTATGCACATTTTTTTAAACACAATAGAAATCGTAGGTTGCGCTAATCCAAGTAAAGCCTTATTGCCAACACTGTTGGTACGATCCCTGAGCAAGAAATCTCGCAGTTATGAAAGCCTTTTAATAAATTTGGGAGGATGGCTTTTTTTACGTGCTTGCAAGTCGATCTTCACTACTCTTAGAACATACATACATATGTATGTATATAACAGCTTCTTTCGAAAGTCGAAAGTTTCTCTGAAATCTAAAGAATTTTTTTTAATAATTAACAAATAAAACTTATTCCAGTTACTAACATTATCGAGTTCACCTCCAGAGGATTGGAAGCATTTCTCAATTGCCTTCTTACTGTAGCCTCTATGAGAGTTTCATTAATTTATTCATTTGAGTTTATATAAAACGTAATTGAGGTTGAAGGAAACATGTATTTTCTTAATTTTGTACGGCTTTTGGGAAGTTTGCGCGACTTTTAAGTACAAAAGGTTTGCTTTAAAAATATTTTATCTAGACAAGAACAGCTGTTTCATTTAAATTCACAACAAATGGTAAAAAAATACCACTGTCATTCACAATAGTACATCTATCGAGCGTGTGGAAACCATAATACGAAAACTCATGTTATACGATACACTTGCAAGCGTTTATCGTCTATTGTATGCAAATTCATAATATGGGGGTCAATTCGAAGCCCGAAAAAAGCGACGATTCGGTTCAAAAACCGATTAGGTTCGAATACGGTGTGTAACCCTGCTATTAAGTACAAAAAGGGCTGACTTCCAAAACGTTCCAATACAATGTTTGGATACTGTTCTACTGCGGTATTTAAACTCTTTGCATATGCAGAGTTGCAAAACATTGCAACCATATACATTGCATATTTGGAATATTTAATAAAACAATAATCACCATTTCGGAATTTTGCATTTGTAAAACACCAATGGTAACCAATAACGAACGAAGCATCAACTTTGTTTCTGATGCGCTGATTGCGCTAGCAATGCGTTTCGATAACTTTTCGGAGGGTTTTGGAAAAGTGTACATTGTCAACCAATTGTAGTTCGGCGTTATGGAACATTAAACTTGGTACGTATGCAATGCAATTGACGTTTTGGAAGTCAGCCAAGTATAAAACACCGAAATTGTTTCTTGTTTATTGTAACTGGGATTTACTAAGTGATTTTTATGCTAAAAGAGGTAAATATTACTAATAGTAGCTAAAATTAAGAGCTAAATTTTGGTGAGCGTTTATTGACGTGAAGTTGTTTTAACATTCTCTGCAATTTTAATTTTAAGTTTAAATGCTGAAAAGAACTTTTACAACCAAAATAAGATGCATATATTTCGAATTCATTGCTACGGCACTTATAATACTTATGTGTATGCCTATTCTTATTTAAACTTGACGATGAACCAAAAATACTTTACAAACTGTTAAAATCTTCAATTTTAGATTCGGGTTTCGAATAATTTTTTCGCAAAATTTTTCTGAAAAGTTTTATTTCCTTCTCTCCTTAAGGTAAAATTAGTAAGGTAAAAACCAAATCCGCGCGTTCAGAAAAAGGATTTTCTTCTAACTAATTTTTGAATTCTTTAACCTAGATCTAAGAATTTATGGTGCAGTCTGTATTTTCCGGTGAATACAAATGTATGTTTTTCACTGCATTTCGAAATTTGTAATTTTATCAACGCTTAAGTTTTGGCTTTCCTTTTCTACCGTCGCCGCACTGTGTTCTGTTTTGGGAAAAAATGGACAAAATCAAATATCTCCCGATCCAAACCAGATAGAGACACACACTAAACGGCATTATAAAGCCCAAATACTGGTGAATACGGGAAAATTATTCAGATTCTTCAAAACAGTTTCTCAACCTTGAATTCCAAGGTGAAAGTTTAACTAAAAAAAAAATTATATATAAAAGCAAATATCTAGCGATCGAAAATTAATAGAGACCTAAATGAAGTAGTATTTTAAACTCTAAGTATTGCTGAAAAGAGCCAAACTGTTTCGATTCGTCAAAAACAAATTCCCTATCGTGAATTCCGAGGTCAATGGTCAACTAAAAAAAAAAACATTTTTCTGATTTTAACATACCTAAATGTTTTTTTAAATCGTTTTATGCGATATACATACATATAAATGCACATACGTATGTGTGGTGGGTCATATCTATATATTTTTAGATGCACAATATCACATGTATATATAATGAAAATTTGTCCTTGTATGTATAGATATGTATATGTACATACAAACATTTGCGCCGCCTGAGAGGATACACCGTCTGAGCTTATCGGAGCTCAAATTACTGCCCGGTATAGTTTGTGTGCTCCCACGCACGTGGCTGAATGGAATGGAATGGAAAAACAAATTTTTCCAAGCACTCAAGCAGTATTGCCCATTGTACTTAAGGCCAAGAAACAGGATTTAGAGGAAAGGGATATGTAGGTGGGGGTGGGAATTCATTACTCCTCTGCAAACTTACCAGACTCCTTTATGAATTTTAGCAATTTGTTGAGGGAAAGAGAATGTACGTCGTCCATTCTCAGTACATCCGACCCAAAAATGTACCATCTGAGTCTGACGAAGGCCGGCCAGCGGCAGAGAAAATGTTCTCTACTATCCTCGTCCTCCAAACACGATGTACACAATGGATCGTCGATGATGCCTATGGTGACCATATGTCGTCCCCATGGATTGTGCATCGTAATCAGTCCTAACAGGGCTCGTATATCACTCCTTCTTTGTCTGAGAAGAAATTTTGCTACCACCCTGTCAGGCCTCTTCAGGAAACAGTTGGTTGTTTTGCAGGTGTCAATAGTGCACCAACGGCTCTCATGAGTTTTGCTTATGAGATCCTTGATGCACCGGATCGTTCCCGCTACGCTTGGCCCTAATTGGCTCCGGTCCAGTTGGGCACTCCAGAGAACCGCGGTTCGCCAATTCATCCGCCAGATCGTTACCTTGAACACCGTGGTGTCCTGGCACTCACACAAGTTCAAGCTCATTCCATCTTGTAACGGAGTTCAGCCTCAACTTACATTCCTGGACTAACTTTTAAGATCCTCTTGGATCGCTAAATCCAGAGGCGACAAATTCAACAAAGCATTAAGAGCGGTTCCTGACGTTGTACTCATGGCACGTGGCAGAAACTAATCGACTTTCTTGCCCATCCTCCATTTGCTTACGCGCCATTTGCATTAGGAATGGAACTTTTCTAAGTATTTATTAATCAAAATAGAATAACGAAATAGAATATCGAAAAGCAACAAAATGGCAACACTGATTTCAATAACCACTGAGCAGAAAATTAGGTTATTTTTATTTTTGAATTTTGGGCGTGGCGTCGCCCACTTATGACCGCAAATGTGTATCTTGGTAACCGATTTATAAATTTCTACCAAACTCGGGGCATTTAATAACCTTGGTATGGAAAGGAAATTCGTTAAAAGTTATACAAATCGGACTAAAATTACACCCGCTTTCCGTATAACGGTAAATTTCGGATATACGAAAATTCCGATATATCAATAACTGAGGACGCTCATTTACTCCAAGTTAATACTTACAACAAGAAATAAGACTGTTATAGACTTTTAGATAGTTTAGAGAAAATTGGTCGCCCGAACTTATACTTCTTTACTTGTTATTAGTTAATTTATATTTTTTAAATTTTTAACTTGAAGGCGTGCTCGTCCTTAAGTATTTGGTTTTTTGTTATTTTTGGCCTAATAAATTATATTAAAAAAAATTTATTGAGCTTGAGGTCGTTTTTTTTAATAATTGTAGAACAAACAACAAAGTTTTTAAATTTGTAGAAGTTATAGCTGCTATTTCGCTGGGGTCGCTGGGTCGAATCCAAGTGTCCGCGGTGGAGAAGTTTGATGAGATGTGGCGATCTCCGAAATAGCAACTATACCTTCTACCATTTTAAAAACTGTTGTTTTTTTCCACAGTAAATTTTTCACAAAAACGGCCTCAAACTCAATAAAAATTGTTTAATATGATTTATTAGGCCAAAAAAAAAAACAAAAAACTAAATCTTTTTTACACTGAAAAATTTAATACATAAAGTGAAATTCCTAGTAATTTTTTAATTACTTTGGTGCTGCAGGTTTTATATAAAGAAATGTACGATGCTTTAACCTAAAACATTCTCTTTATTCAGTACGATAAATGTTTAAGTGAGCACACAATCGTATTTTTATACATTTGCAAATTATTTGCTTTTGTCATTTGAAGCACATAGCAAAACATGCATTTTAAACAATAGCAGTCAAATTCGCAGGGCCACCAAATCCAGATAATCTACCTGAAGATGGAAAACTGAAATCCGAGATGATGATTAAAGATAATAGACGATACTATTTAGATTTAAAAGAGAATGCGCGCGGACGTTTCTTACGAGTGAGTATAAATGAATATTATATGAAATATACTACGTTTACATTGAACCCAAATGTGTAATAACCGATAAGTTTCTTTTTTTGTTATCAAAATTTGCCAGTAGCCAAAACTTGAGGTTGCAAAAAAGCTTGTGAATGCTCATATTTATTGAGTTTGCTTTTCTCGAAATAATGGTGCATTTATTCTGCCCTGTGCCAGCGCTGTCAAATTTCCGTGTTTTTTCACAGCATTTTCTGTAGGTTGCTTGTTCTTTTCTCAACATTTTGCCACCTGACTAAATTCCAACATTTTCATTTTCTACCCTTGTCAAGGCGTAAGGGTATGCATTGCCCAGCAGGTTTTGGCTGATCATTTCGGATTTCCATACAAAATTAAGTAAGTTTACGAGGTTTATGTAGTAACGAGGAGGTTAGATTATTTGCCCTAGATCTATATATTTTTTTAATTTAATAAAATAAATTGTGAATGAGATTGTAAAATACTAGATTTTTTGGCATTTGTTTGTTTTCTTATATAAAAAATGCAACATTTTCACAGTGCGCATGTACATAATGTTGTCATATAATGATGCAGCATTTGTATTGAGAAAACAAAAGCTATTAGACTTATAGCCTAGACAAATGGCAGCGTTATTACGAATTAACGCCTTAATTCGGAACTATATCGGAAATTAACTGCAGCTATTTTAACTAATAATTTAGTTTATTTTATTTTATTAAATTTTTATTTTACAGCATTTGATTTTATTTCTATTTATTTTATTGTATTTATGTAAGTTTTATTTAAATTTTCTTTGATAATAATAATAGATTGGCGCTTACACATATGAATGTTAGTGTTTGGCCGTGGCGTGCGCCTTGATGTTTTCACACAAAGGGGAGGGACTAACAGTTTTACGCCGACTCCGAACGGCGATTGTATTTTTATGAGAAGCTGTTTTTCATGGCAGAAGTACACTCGGAGGTTTGCCATTGCCTGCCGAGAGGCGACTGCTGTTAAGAAAAAACCGTTTTTTCTAAATTTTTTTTGCGATGTGGCTTTGACGAGGGTTTGAACCCATGCGCTGCGGAGTGGAAGCGCGCGCTGCTTACGCCTACACCACAGCGGCCGCCACTTAGCTAACATTAAGTCAATTTAATTTTGAGCTTAATGCCATTTAAAAAAGTCCAAATCACGCAATAAAAAATAAATAAGTGCGGATATTAAAAAACATTTAAGTAGGTATTCAGATGACGTTGTAATGGCTTAAAGTCCTAAAACTTTTCAACTTAGAATAACGTTAAAGAGTTTTTTAAAGGATTTGCAACTAATCAACATGTTTTTAAACTAACAGAAAAACATAATAAGCTTATATTTTATCCTATCAATTCCCTAAAAGCAAATTAACCCCTTGTTACATTGCCTAATTTTACGATGTCTTCTGAATACCCAAAATATTTTGATTAGACGGCGGAATCGAAACCGGGACCATGAGACAATTTTTTGCTTAATCGGCAATACTTTAGTCTGTCAAAAACAAATTAAATCGAACCAATTGTGCTGTCAATCTGGATTAACGCTGTCGTCTGTCTATGCTTTTGAATTTTTTGCAATTGGATTTATTTAAACGGACGTTGGCAATGCGAATGCAAGATGTGGCTCGCCCGAATCTCTTTAGGTAATTGAGCGGCCTTGTTTACTTATTCCAAATGCTACCAGTATTTCCATTACGTGATCTTGCTATGTCCCAGATTTCCTTGCCTTCTACCATCTAAACTGTGTAACCACTTGAAATTATGTGAAAAATACATTGGCGCTTCGCATATTTTGCTAAGCCTTTGCCGCGCTTCTTTCTAATTTATGTTGTTATAAAAATGGAGGAACCACAAACGGGTTTTTGGTTTTGCGACCGCTATAAGAATGGATGTTGGTTGGATCAAGGATCGGCTACAGGGTAGAAATGCATAACTCTAAACCAGAAGTGGGAAGCCTCGACAGTTGAATGAAGCTTTCGCTGCCTTCCCAAGCAGAGCATGTATGTATACGCGACTATGATGCGCAGTCGCCTGCCAGGCAGACGCTGCCCAGCTCTGCTCTAAACACTCGAACGCAATGGTCACAAAAATGTAGCGGAGCCACGCGGCTTTCACACGTACAAGTCGTGTGTACGAAGCATGGCGAATCTATACAAGGAGGTGTTACAGATTGTCAAAATACAAATTCGCCTTGGATTCGCCTTGGTACGAAGCAAGGATAGAAATGCAAATTTTCCAATTGTATTCAATTTAAGGGAAAAATTTTACTTAAAAGCTGACGAAGGTACTAAAAAAATAAGGATGTAAATTTTGTTACACATTTCAAATCACGTCAAATCTGTTTAACAGTACAAAAATACGACGGCAATCTTCCTTCCCTAATACGATAAGCTCTGTTCAAACTGGAAGAACTTTTCGAGGCTAAACAAGGCGAATCATTATCTTGCCCCAACCCTTATCTACGTGCTGCAACAACTTGCTACTACTCAATGAGAGCTCTTTTGATATGCTTCTGAAACGTTTTCTCGCCAACAGACTCTCGCATTCGCTTGGTATCTTCGTATGCCGCCAATAAGTTGATTCTGCTTGTGGAGGAAAGATTGGTACAATTGCTCGAAAAATATTGTCGTAGGTATAGTAGTTTTGTATCTAGACCGAAGATAGTTAAAAAATTTAAAGCAATGTAATGTAGAACAGGTGAATTGTACTAAAAGTGTTCCGAATGCAATGAATAAGATGAGTTTTGTTCTAAAATTGGTTACAATGTCACGCAGTAGCGGACAATGGGTATGATTAACGATTTACTGATATTTAGGCACTTAGTCAACGAATGTTCGTGTGCGGCGTTGGCATGTAGAGAAAGCATCCGCTTAGAAAATCTGAGAACCCCGGTTCGAATCGCAGCTGCCGTCAAAGGGACCCTTATGTTACAAAAGCTCTTTTCACAACTTTAGTTAGACCAATATTAGAATACGGATCTGTTATTTTGAATCCCCGCTATCACAAATGATCACTCAGAAAGGATGCAAGTCGTAGAGAAATGCTAAGTGTTATATTCATCGTAAAGTTAATGACAGGCGTGATTAATAGCCTGTCCCTTCTGTCCGGATTAAACGTTACCATTCCCACTAGTGTATCAAGACACTTTTGACCTCTATTTTTAAAGCCATGCAAAACTAATTTTGAATTAAACGATCATTCCGTTGTTTCTGTCAACTTTCATCCAGCATATGTCGGACTCCATTTTCACTTTAAAGAAAACAATCCTTTCCTCTTTCAATAATTGAAATACAATCAAGCTGATGAATTTGATTCTGTAGCTGAATAGTTTTAGATCTCGACACTCAACAAAAACTCCTGTTTTCCGCGACTCGGCACTAAAAAGTTACGTACGTCGCACATAGGGGTATTTGGCCGATTTAGGCGGCCAAAATTATTTTTATGAAAATTTGATTTCAAAATGTTTAGAAAAGACGTGTTACGATTTTTATTTTTATGAAAATTTGATTTCAAAATGTTTAGAAAAGACGTGTTACGATTTTTATTTTTATGAAAATTTTATTTCAAAATGTTTAGAAAAGACGTGTTACGATGTCTAAAATTCTAAATGTTTAAAATCAAGTAAATATAGGTGGAGGACGTACAATTATTCCTCCAAAGCAACGCAAATAAAGTTGGTTAAAGTTTGCCATGGATAGACTCTATGTTGCCGTGACCCGAGTGTAGAAACACGCACACCTATATACGTGTTCGTCTCGGCGATGTTTATATATAGGTTAGTAAATGCAAAGAGTTGCCACCTGGTAAAGACTTAAATATAGTTAAGTTAACTGAATTACTACAATATGGGTATCAATTGAAATGGTTTTGAAAGGCTTCATTTCTAAACAACATGTGGCTAGGTTACCACCTGTTTAAAAATGAAATTCAACTTTAACTAAGGGAATAACAGACAAATTATTATTTTTTTATAACGTTGCTCAAAAATTCGTTTTTATTGTTAAAATTCGTATGGACTTCCTTGAGATATAAGATACAAATAAAATGATGGAAATAACCAATTTTATCCTGTAATGCAATGGATAATAAATGTGTAATTGAATTATAAAACAAAATTTGTGTAAAAAACTATTTTAGGATGATGATGAGTGCCAAGATTCTTCATCGGACCCTTCTTCCTAGTTGGTTCAGCTGGAAGCAACATATCGATTTCTTCCTTTGAAAGGGGTTTGGTTGCTTTTTTTGGCTTTGGCCTGAAACTACTAATGAGTGGATCAGAGCTTAGGAGTAACCTGTTCAACACGACCAGATCGCGGCTGTTGCATACCTTTGGGAATTGAAAATGTTCCTTGTAGCCATGTTACGTTACTTTAAAAAAAAACTTCTTCTTTTCCACGGGCTTTTATCCATCTTTGTATAAACTGTGCTTTTATTTGTGAAAATTTGTGCTTTATATCTCTTATTTGCTCATCGGAGAAGGTGTCAGATGATAATATGTCATTTTGAAGAAACTTTATTTTGTTCCCCAAATTCATAGAATTTTGTCGACGCATCTTATCAAATAAATATTTTCGAGTTACTACTCTATAGCAGGAACCAGTTGGTGACTCTAAAGCAAAGGAAATACTTAAAAATGACAAAATATGAATGGAAACGATTTTTTTTTTAGATCTATCTTAATTATTAGTCATAAAAAGCTCATCGGTAGCTTTCAGAAGCTAATTTTTGTGCAGTATACTATCAAAGCTCCATTCTATAGAACGCAACTAGTAATGTAACGTGGAAATGCGTGGAAGTATAACTAACAGCTTACGGTTTACAAAGTAATGAAAAAATAATCACTAAAAAAATAAAATATTTCCGATTACTGACATTATTACTTAGATTAAATTTTGCTAAATCGAAACTATTTACAATAAATGTAGATTTACCTGTGTCTTCAGACTTCATAACAATTTTTAATTGTATAATGACCACAATAATAAT